GGCAAACCAAAGGGGAATTACTACTCTGGAGTAGTCCCTAGATTTGGGTATGTCGATGGGGGACCCACCAAACATTCAGATGTCCCACAGGCGCTATGTTAGCAGGAGTCCCACCTGGCTCTCCGTGCCGGTGGGACATCCGATCGACTCGCCACCTGGCACTCGAGGGAGAGAAGAGAGAAGCTCCGCTGCGAAGCGGGCGCGGACGACCACTCCAAGGCAGGCTTGGGGATGGGCAGCGTGCCAAGGCTTGCCCTTTGACCTCCGAACGTCTCATTGCTTGTTGGGGAAGTATCCGAAAGTTTCATTGCTTTTTGGAGAAATATGGGAACAGCGAGTGGCTCCCAAAAGTTCAAAAAGTGTGGACAGCGTCTTGAGGGGGCCCCTTCATGTTCAACCAGAAGGGGCCACCAGACCACGCCAGAAGCGGGCCGCCCCGGCGATTTCCGTCCACAAAATGGGGTCTTCCGGACGTATCCAGGGCGAGCCAGCCACACAGGAGTGGCCAGAGCGTCGCTGTGGTTGGTTCTGCGTTGATTTCTTCATGCTCCCTGCTTGGCAGGAAAGTTGTCTTGTTTCTTGGGGGAGCCTCTACGTTGGTTGGGTGAATCATTGTGATCTAGACAAACAAACACGGAAGTGCACAAGTCAACACGTAACCCTTAAATAACTTTTTTTTAGCACATGGATCGCCTTAGGTTCCTTTTGTTGATTTTCAGACGCCCCGAGTTCTCGTTTTCACAGGGCTTCGCGCTCGACTCAAGGTGCGCTGCTTCGCCTTGGCGATGAGTCCCGGGAGCATCAGATCTTTGAGCTCCGACACGGAAGGAGGCGCCGCGAAAAGCGCGACTTCGGTCCGGACGGGTGCTGGCTCTAGTGATAGTTTGGTGTCCAGGAAAATTTCAGGAACGCCTTAAGCCACCCCAAAGTTGCCGATGTCCTCTCAGGGCAAGAAGACGCTTAGGTCGTGAAAGCATGGGCGATCCGCGCTCTTTTGTTAGGAAAGAAAGGAGCGGGCACTGTGAAGAATCTGCTGAAGGGGGAAGCGCAGAGCAATCCTCCACTTCACATTGAACAAATCCATCCAGCACGCCGTGGTACGTTCCGAGTCACTCGAACACGGTCCGAAATATACATCAGTGAGTGTAAAAACACACCCCACCACCCCCCCTCTGTCGGTCCGAATGCTAAAGGGAGTTTGAGGCATGTATTTTGCCCCCTTTTCGGGCGCGTATTTCTCACAACGAGATGGGCCAGCTCCTGCAGGATATTTTTTCTGTCCAGACAATTGGGTGCAACACCATGTTGAGACACACACCCAAGCGCGTGGTACTTCCAAGCAATCTGATTCCGCTCTCTCTCGCTTTCTCCTGTTGCAGGTCGCTCAAAGGATGCCCTGGACTGGATCCGGCGTTCGGAGCTGGAAGGCAGGTCCAGCCACTGCTCTCCCAGCAGCAGGTAGTTTGACTCAATAGCCCCAGAACCCCGTTCTAAGTATTTGGACAATCATGGAAGCTGGCTATGGGTTTTGGAAGACTACTTTGATTTCCGGGAAGGGAAGGGGGGTCATCCTTGCCCGCGAAATCTGGGTCATCCTTGCCCGCGTGATTGTGCGCGCGGATGACCCAAATTTGCGGGCGCGGTTGACCCTGGAAAACATCGAATTTTCAGGGCAAGTAGTACTGGGTAGTATTGCGTGTGTCTTCTGTGGATGACTCCAAATATGTGGGCGCAGATGACCCTGGGTGGATACAGTGCTGAGCGCGTGCCTTTGAGCGGGTGTGCTTACCATTCCCCCCCCCCCACCCCCCCGGCCCCCCCGAGCAAGAGTGGGTGCGTGGGCTTACTATGTCGCATGCGTGGAAACAGTGCTGAGCGGGTGCACTTGCCCCCCCGAGCAAGAGTACTACTACTACTACTACTACTACTACTACTACTACTGCTACTACTGTGCTTAACCGCATGTGGGCGCGGATGACCCTAAAAATGTGGGCAAGGATGACTCCAAGAGAAAACGGTGTCACACTTTAAGTACTGGTGTAGTATTTTGTGGGCGAGGATGACCCAGAATCTGTGGGCAAGGATGACTCAGATTCTGTGGGCGCGGATGACCACCCCCCTTCTTCCGGGAAGCCCTTCTGGTGCAATCAGGACCCATACTGAACGCGACGCCGAAGCGAAGTTGCACAGTTCGGCAAAATCATGATGTCTCAATCTTCACACAACTAGATGCTGCAGCTGCATCTTTGAAAATGTTCGCCCCCTGCGCTTTGGTCATGGCACCAAGAATTCTTCGCCAGAGCGCGTGGGCAACTCTCTGCAGCGTTCGTGTGCGTCTGCGTGCGATGTCGAGTGTGCGTGTGTTCATTTGGGCGTGCGCACCGACATTCGGCTATACATATGTCGGATTTGGCTGTGCGCGTGTGCTGTTGACTGTGTGCGCACTTGGCTGTGCAAATGTGCTGTCGACCGTCTTTCCAAAAAACCCGCAGCCAGCACA